GTCGTTTCATAGTCATTCTGCCTTCTCATTGGTTGTAAACCCAAACACATGACTGCCTCGTCACTGTCTGAATGTACAGCCCCCCAGGTCTTAAAGGCATATGTCTCCAATGCTGGCTGTATCCCTGAACACACAGAGATCTATGGGATTAAAGGCGTGCGCCGCCGCCGCCGCCGCCGCCGCCGCCACCGCCGCCGCCGCCACCGCCGCCACACTCTGTCTATGGCTCTAATAGCTCTGACCCCTGGGCAACTTTATTTATTAACATACAATCAAAATCACATTTCAGTACAATTAGAATACCACATTTCTTAATTTATAAAAATTAAGTTATTTCAACATCTGTTTGAGCAGGAGTCATGCTACTACTAATAGGGAGAAAAAAGATACTTCTAACAAAACACATCTGCAGTCTTGTTCATAGTATCATCTCTTTCCTCTACAGAAGTTTTCTTTTCATCTCTGCTCTTCCTTTAACTTGAGATGAATTCAGTTCCCTTAATGCTAAATTCACTCTGTCTTGTTCTTACCGAGGCATCTTACTTCATAATCTTCTCACTCTTTGAAACTGCCACCTTGTTCCCTACATTTCCACTGCCCCACCCGTTCACTACCAGACACCCCTGCTCACTTACTCTAACAAATTAAAATTCAGCTAAGAGAAAACAAATTTTCATTCTACACACAGGAAAATCTGCAGTTATGCAGTCTAAAAACCGTCCAGTCATGGTATTCTCTGACAAAGGTAGGCAACAAAACTTCCTAAAATCAAGGTCACAAGCCACCTCCTCTAAGTTTCTATAGAAACAGCTGTTCTGGAGAGATGGCTCAGCAGTTAAGAGCACTGGCTGCTCTTACAGAGGTCCCAGATTAGATTCTCAGTATCCATATGGCCATTCACAACCATCTGTAACTCCAGTTCCAAAGAATCTGATACCCTCTTCTGGCCTCCATGGGCACTGCACATCAATGCAGATATTAATGCAGGCAAAACACCCATACATATAAAATAAAAATAAATCTACTAAATTAAAAAAAAAAACTACTATTTTCAAAGAAACTCAACATAATGCTTCCTCGAAGCTACCCTCCAGTCTCTGCTCAACTGAGGGAAACTGAAGCTAATACAAATCTCTATTACTGGCCATCTTCCTCCTGCAAGTACCTCTAAGTATCAGACTCCTGTCAAACTTAGGACTCCATTTCTTAGGACAGATCCACAAAAGTAAAACTGACTCTGAAAAACTGTGAAGGAATTCTAGATCCCACACCTCCCTCTTTTGTTATCAAAGGCAGCTAGAGATGTGTCCGTTATTTAAACCCTGATCACTTCATTTTCTCCATTCTTCAGAGCTAAATTCACACCAAGCTGTCACTGATTCCATACCTAAGGCTAATCCTTCCCTCTATGCTGATTTATAAAATAGCACAGACCTCCTCAAAGCCAGCTTTCTTTGCATTAAGTATCAGCCTTTTCCCACTCTGCCAAGACCTTATTTTAACCCCTAAACATCCACTATTTTATGACCCAGTAATTTTCTCAAAGCATAGCTATGAACATACAGATTGCCTCTAAACAGGCATCTCAGATTTCTTTCTTTGAGACAGGGGCTCATGAAACCCAGGATGGTCTTGACCTTGCTAAATAGTGGATGACCTTGAACTTTTGATCTTCCTGCTTCTACTTAAAAGAATGCTATGCTAGGATTACAGGCTGGCTACATCACACCCACTTTTATGTAGTGCATGTTAGGCGAGTGTTCTACAAATGAAGCAATATCTCAAAGCCCTCAACATAAATTTTCTAATGTCCACCCATTTTATCTATAAAGATCATAAAATTCAAGGCCCTTTTAGCATCAGGTTACAGAGAAGCTTTTCCTTAACTACTGTGTTTGTTTAAAATATATGGTCTTCTTTTATTTTCCTTTCTAGCACTTTACAGGACCTGATAGTGTACTTACCTGTTCATGTTTACTGACTTTCTATCAAGATAAACTTGTCCATGTTCACCAGTGGAGCCTCAGCTCCTACAATATAGAAAGCCCTCAATACACACTTGAGTAAAGAATGAGCATAGATATGCAGCACAGAAAGCTGACCTGAAACTAGAAGACAAGTATGTGAATTTGGTTCTACACACCAGCCATATGATCCTCAAATAGTTCACTTTGGGCTTACTGCCATCCTTAGAATGTAAGTGCTCTTTTCTTTCAAAGCCTAACAAATGTGTAAGCTCTGTAAGAGGGTGGAGTTCTTACTTTCTATTCTTAGCAGTTGGTACAATGCCTTCCATACAGGTGATCGACCAAACAACTGATGAATCATAAGCATATAAATCAGCAAATGAACAAAGGAAGCCTTCCCTGATTTTCCCCAGTTGCTCAGGTCATCTCCTGGTCATCTCCTGACTTCGGACTCATCAACATGGTACCTTCAGAAGTGATAACTACATTAGTTGGTGCTGTTTATTTACTCACCTAATGGATATTAAGTTGCAAATTCCTTAAGAACTGCCCTTGTAGTTTCTATTTCTAACTACAGCACCTATGTTCATAAGTTAGTTTCCTTAATATCGTAAATAATAAGGATGCAGAGAAGAAAAAGGGATGTCAACTTACAGTATCAGGCATATACGCTGTGCTAAACTCCGGAATTCATGCGTCAAAGGTTCACAGGTCCCACTATCCTCTCTGGTATAATGAATAACTACTTTCCAAGACAGAAGAGCCACCTTGTGTATCACATAACAACATACCTTCTCTTGCAATATAAATATACGTGGGTCTACTCTCACACATTGATTCTTTCACTTCACTAACCTCCAAACAGCTAAGGTAACCTGTCCTTCAGATATCTACCCATTCAACTGCCTTCTCCACAAGGTACGAAACCACTTTTTAAAAACCATCTTCCCACAAGACATGCCTTTTCAAAGTTGTTCCTGAAAGACCAGTTTTTACGTTCCTATGTCTTTGCAAGTCTCCCATTAACCTCAGGCTCCAACAATCTTATTTTCCTTTGACATCAAGACTTTATTTTACCCTCTAGCTTCCTTCAAGCTTTTACTCAGAATCCATGAAGCCATCCTGACTGTACAACAGCTACCTTTCCATTCAAAATGTTCTCGACATCAGGTACTGTCAATGCATGTGTGCCTTCTTTAAGTGTGCATCAACCTCTGCTTCCCTTCCTCCCTCCCTCCAGACAGACAGACAGACACACACATACACCACCACCACCCATGCGTCACTCGAGCTCCATCATACAAGTTCCTTACATAGCACTTAATGAATGCACACGACTCACAGAATGGTATCTTCCAACTACAGTTTCTTCGGAGAACATAACCTTGTTCATAGCACCTCCCTCTCCCTTCATCCACTCCCCCCTTTTCGGGCTCCCCCTACCTCTCCAACTGACCTCAGAAGGCATTATTTCTCGTACTCCCAAGCCGTGATAAAAGATCAAGCTCCCGCTCCCTGCGGGCTCCCCTTCCTCCCGTGTGCCCTCCAGTCTTGTGTGTGCCCTTCCCAACCCCCCAGGTGTGCTTGCTGACTTCCATCCTCTTAACTCTCGCCATGCATCGCTCCAGCCAACACTCCACGCTTCCCCTGCGGTGGGGACCAGACCCCTCCACACCTACCCACCTCCAGTCCCGGTCGCTACCTGCGCCCCCCCCGGGGGGGTGCCTCTCCCTACCCTGGCCCGCAGGCTGAGACCACAGGCGCGCGCACGCACACACACACACACACGTTCTCTTTCACGCTTCCCCAACCTCCCTCCGCTCTCACCGCCGGCTTCGCGGGACCTCAGCTCGGCCGGCGCGGGGCCAGGCAGCCATGTGTGTGTGTGCCCGAGCCTCCGGGTCCGGGGAACCAGGAGGACGCTGCAACTCCCCCCACCACCACCACCACCACCACCACCTCGGAGTCCGCGGTTCCTGGCACCCCCCCACCCCCCGCGCCGCCCCAAGCCTCCTCCCGCTCCCACCACGCCTCGGCCGGGCTTCGGCACTCACCGGAGATACTGCGCGCTCTGCAGGCTCATCCTCCGCCGCCGCGTCTCCCCGCGAAGCCTCCGTGGGTCTCTCAGGCTCCTCGGAGCGGCCCCACAGCCCCGCGGGTGCGGGCGGCCGCCGCCATCTTCCTCTCCTCCGACTCCTCCTCGCTCGGCGCGGGGTGGGGTGGGGGGGGAGAGGGAGCGAGGCGAGGGGGAGGGAGGAGGGAAAGCGGCTCCGGCTGCGGCTCCGGCCTGTGGGACACAGGGACGCTCCAGCTCGGGAGGGGGAAGAGGAGGGAGCGGGGAAGGGGGCGGGGGAAGAGGCGGGAGAACCGGAGGAAGGAAGTCCGGCTCGCTCTCGCGAGACCTTAGCAGCGCCGGTCCCTCCGGGTGGCTTCCGCTTCTCTAGATCGCTCCCTTCTGGGACCGGCGAGCTGGGCGGCGCCTGCGCGCCGGCTGACGGGCTGGGTGGCAGCGCTCGGCGGCTTCCCGGTGGCCCGCCCTTGTCCTCCCGTGCGAGGGGGCGACCCCACGCTCCCCGCGAACATCGAGCCCCCGCCCCCCCCAAAAAAAAAATCAGCCGGGAGTTACACTCAAAGCCTTCCGCCTCTCAACCCTCCTCCCACTCCTCGCTTCCTTTTTCCACTCCTCCACTGCTCCCCACCGGAAACGCCACCCCTTCCTCCTACAGTTCCGCCCGCCAATTCCTCGACTCTGGTCTTCCCCTCGCGCGCCGCCGAGGAGTGACGCAAAGGCCGCCCTCTCCTCGGCCGCCCCTCCCCGGGCACGCTTGGAGGGTGTTGGAGGGAGGGGGGATAGGGCGGAGCCCAGGGAGAAATAGAAAGGAGACCAATCGGTTGGGGCAGGCCGCTGCCATGGAAACTGGAGGCTGTGGTTGTATTGTCATAGTAACCGGTGTGTGTAGACAGGGTGACCCTCCCCTAGAGGAACGGGTTCCCGGGAAACCGCCCAGGATTCCCCGCTTGGATTCCCTGACCTCTCAAGGCTGGGAATCGGAGATTGTCACCGGGCGGTGAAGTCCATTTCCTCCTCCCTTACCACCCTCCCAGCAAAAACTGCGGGGGAGACCTTCGAGGCATTCAGCCGTGGGCATTTCCACCCTTTCCGCGGGTGGAAACCACCTCCACCGTTTCTTCTCAGAGCCGGGTGGGGAGAGGGCCGGGCCTGAGAAGAAGACGCAGGGTCTGGCGGCTGGAGGGTTGGAGCGGGAAAGCGAGGGCAATACTGCAGCGCCAGGCAGCGAGCAAGGGGAAGGAGTTTCCCCACGACTGCCTGCGGCGGGGAGGCGGGATCCCACCCACTGCCCCCGGGGTCCCTCAGGGAGGAGAAGGGAACAGGACGACCGTGACGCCGCTCCGGCAGTCCATCCGGAAGGTGCGGTTTTTCCTAGTGGGTCGACCCCTTCCCTAATTCCTACCCCATGTCACCTGGGGGCCCTTCCGGCAGAGACAGAGAGCTTGAACCCAGCCTAGGAGGCTAACGCGCAGTTCGTAGGCATTTAGAATTGAGAGTGATCGGGAAGGCTGACTACCGCCATCCTTCCCAGAGACACCCCCTTGGGGATCAAGCTCCATCATCGAAGGCTGATCTCCAAAGTCCCCCCTCCTCAAAAATCTGCCGTGTTTGAGAACATGCCACTTCTTTTTTAATTAGAGAAGAAAACCTTATATAAAAAAGTACCTGGATGTATCAGCATGAGGGAGTCTACGAAAATAATTTTCCCATTTTGAGAAAAAAACATTTTGGCGTATATGTATTTTTTGTGTCCGATTTAGGGTTAAAACAAATAATGGCTCCCAGTGACGTGGAGTCTATCATGGAGGGAATCGTTCTGATGGAGTGAAGTAATTATTGGCATTTTACAGATTTTATTTTCAATTCATATTGAAAAGTTATGTAAGTAGCTATCCCAGAATGTTTTAGAATATGTAAGGTCATAAAATCCCCAGGAATACAGTCCTCACGGTGTAGTTCAAATCAGCATTTCAATGGGATCTTGGTTTTGGCTTTGGGTACCTGATTTTTTCTGGTTTTTCATACCGCCTAAACAAACGCTTTCCAGATCCTTCCCTGAATCCAACGCCTATTAAAATCCTAGAACAGTGTTTATTTGGAACATGTTCGAGTTCTCAGGAAACGAAAGTACAGCCCACTTGGAAATAAATCTCAAGGACAGACTGTCATTAACGAAATAGAAAGTGAACTCTGCCCCCTCATGCTGCGAGCAAGCGCCCAGTGTGATGCGCTTGGACGCTGTGACGCGCGGTGATTGCCGAAGTACAATGGGCCCAATCTTCCACCATCACCAACGCGCCGCCCACTCACGGCAAAGAGAGCCACCTAGTGAGAAACCGTTCACATCTCCGGTGTGTAGAATTCTACTTTCCTTCAAATCTGAGAGCCAAAGAACGGAAGTTACTACTGTATACTCAAATAGTCTACTTTTTAAAGTTAGCATACAGAGTGATGGATATCATTATGGCATTTTCTATGAATATGTCGTATTTTTATTCACCCTCTCCACTGACTTCCTCCATACTCCTTTCCTCCCCGTTACTGATGCCCTCCCCCACTTAATCCTCCCTTCTGCCTTCACTGTGGTATGAATTCCATTATCTCCCCCACTTCCCTCCCTTAAGACCTTTTCTTCCCCTCTCATGGTCCTCTTTGAACTTTCATGACACATACACAATTTAAATCTAGATGCTGTGTATGAGAGAAAATGTAGTGTTTGTCCTTTATACTCTTATTTTCCTTAGTGTTTGATCTGCAGTTCCTTGCCTTTTCCAATAATAATAATAATAATGCAATAATTTAATTTTTATGGCTGAAAAAATCCATTGTGTATATATGTAACAAATTTTCTCATCTGTTGGTGGACACAGAAGCTGGTTCCATTTCTTTTTTTTTTTTTTTTTATTTATTTATTATGTATACAGAAGAGGGTGTTAGATCTCATTACAGATGGTTGTGAGCCACCATGTGGTTGCTGGGAATTGAACTTGGGACCTCTGGAAGAGCATTCGGTGCTCTTAACCTCTGAGCCATCTCTCCAGCCCCCTCCATTTCTTAACTATAAGGAGTAGTGCAGCAATAAACATGGTAGTGCCAGTATCTTTGTGGTATGTTGACTTAAGAGTCCTTAAGGTCTATACCCACCAGTGGCAGAGCTGTCATATGGTAGTTCTATTTTTAGTTTCTTGAGGGACTTCCAGCTTACATCACCACCTACTTGTATATAAGAATCCCTTCCCCTGCCACATCCTCACCAGCATTTGTTATAACTGGTAACTGGTTTTTCTTAATGACAGCCATTCTCAATGGTGAGATAGAACCTCAAAGCAGTTTTAGTTTGCATTTCCCTGACGGCTGAAAATGTTGATCTCTCTCTCTCTCTCTCTCTCTCTCTCTCTCTCTCTCTCTCTCTCTCTCTCTCTCTGGTTTTTTAAGACAGGGTTTCTCTGTGTAACAGCCTGGCTGTCCTGGATCTTGCCCTGTAGACCAGGCTGGCCTTGAACTCACAGAGATCTGCCTGCCTCTGTCTCGGGAGAGCTGGGACTAAAGGCGTGTGCCACCATGCCTGGTGGGAAAGGTGTTCTTTATTTTTTTTCTCCCAGAGCTGAGGACTGAACCAAGGGCCTTGTGCTTGCTAGGCAAGTGCTCTACCACTGAGCTAAATCCCCAGCCCCGGGAAAGGTGTTCTTAAGCCATAAACACACATAGGGGAAACGTAAATATGTATTGCGGAGTGAAAGAAGGCAGTGTAAGCACATCCTACACGATTTCAACCACACGGCTTTCTGGGATAGGCAAACT